CCCAAAAAGCTTTGAGAGGCATTAAGAAGCTCTGTTTGTGTTTTTGGAGTCAAATATGACTTGATCTCTTGTGTATGATTGAATATAAGAACTAGAACCGCAACCAGATCCCAAAAGCTAAACTAGTGTTTCTCCGTTTAGAAGCTCCTAAACCAAAATCTCATAGGACTTCGGCCACACCCAAAAAGTTTTGAGAGGCATTAAGAAGCTTTGTTAGTGTTTTTAGAGTCAAATATGACAAGATCTCTTGTGTATGATTGGATATAAGAACTAGAACCGCAACAGGATCCCTAAAGCTAAACTAGTGTTTCTCCATTTAGAAGCTCCAAAACAGACAACTCATAGGACTTCGGCCACACCCAAAAAACTTTGAGAGGCATTAAGAAGCTTTGCTAGTGTTTTTGGTGTCAAATATGACTAGATCTCATGTGTATGATTGGGTATAAGAACTAGAACCGCAACCGGATCCCAAAAGCTAAAGAAGTGTCACTCCGTTTAGAAGCTCCAAAACCAAAAACTCATAGGACTTCGGCCACACCCAAAAAGCTTTGAGAGGCAATAAGAAGCTTTGTTAGTGTTTTTGGAGTCAAATATGACTAGATCTCATGTGTATGATTGGGTATAAGAACTAGAACCGCAACCGGATCCCAAAAGCTAAAGAAGTGTCACTCCGTTTAGAAGCTCCAAAACTAAAAACTCATAGGAGTTCGGCCACACCCAAAAAGCTTTGAGAGGCATTAAGAATCTTTGTTAGTGTTTTTGGACTCAAATATAGATCTCGTGTGTATGATTGAATATAAGAACTAGAACCGCAACTAGATCCCAAAAGCTAAACTAGTGTTTCTCCGTTTAGAAGCTCCAAAACAGACAACTCATAGGACTTCGGCCACACCCAAAAAGCTTTTAGAGGCATTAAGAAGCTTTGTTAGTGTTTTTGGAGTCAAATATGACTAGATCTCATGTGTATGATTGGGTATAAGAACTAGAACCGCAACCGGATCCCAAAAGCTAAAGAAGTGTCACTCCGTTTAGAAGCTCCAAAACTAAAAACTCATAGGAGTTTGGCCATACCCAAAAAGCGTTGAGAGGCAATAAGAAGCTTTGTTAGTGTTTTTGGAGTCAAATATGACTATATCTCGTGTGTACGATTAGATATAAGAACTAGAACCGCAACCGGATCCCAAAAGCTAAACTAGTGTTTCTCCGTTTAGAAGCTCCAAAACCAAAATCTCATAGGACTTCGGCCACACCCAAAAAGCTTTGAGAGGCATTAAGAAGCTCTGTTTGTGTTTTTGGAGTCAAATATGACTTGATCTCTTGTGTATGATTGAATATAAGAACTAGAACCGCAACCAGATCCCAAAAGCTAAACTAGTGTTTCTCCGTTTAGAAGCTCCTAAACCAAAATCTCATAGGACTTCGGCCACACCCAAAAAGTTTTGAGAGGCATTAAGAAGCTTTGTTAGTGTTTTTAGAGTCAAATATGACAAGATCTCTTGTGTATGATTGGATATAAGAACTAGAACCGCAATAGGATCCCTAAAGCTAAACTAGTGTTTCTCCGTTTAGAAGCTCCAAAACAGACAACTCATAGGACTTCGGCCACACCCAAAAAACTTTGAGAGGCATTAAGAAGCTTTGCTAGTGTTTTTGGTGTCAAATATGACTAGATCTCATTTGTATGATTGGGTATAAGA